CCCCCTAATGACTTTACGTGTGACGGGCAGTGTGAAGTAATGTTCCGTAAAAAATATTCGCGAGATAATTCCGGACGTTATGTAGTTCCTTTATTATTTCGCCAACCGGTGGCAGACACCACCTTTGCAGGTTCGCGTACGGTAGCGCTCAAACGGTTTGAGTCACTTGAACGCAAGCTCGCGTCCGACAGCCGCCTACGGGAGGCGTATTGTAATTTCATGGCAGAGTACATCTCGTTAGGTCACATGTCTTTAGCAAAAACCGAGGGGTTATACTTTATCCCCCACCATGCGGTGTTCAAGTCTTCTGACGTCGAAGCGAAAATTCGCGTTGTATTTGATGCATCTGCGCAATCATGTGCGAGCGCTTCGCTCAATCAGTGCTTATTCTCGGGTCCCAAACTGCAACAGGACGTGATAGATGTTCTCGTATTATTTCGCCTATCGCGTCATGCATTTACGGCAGATATAAACAAAATGTACCGACAAATTTTAGTGGACCCTGAACACAGACGTTATCAGCACATTTTATGGCGCGCATCCCCGCAAGATGCACTCGAAGAATACGAGCTAAATACCGTTACATACGGGGTAAACTGTGCCCCTTTCCTCGCCATTCGGGTTCTCCACCATATCGCCGAACATGATTGTACTGATGTCCCCGCTGTTCGTGACGCGTTATTATTCAGTACATATGTAGATGACATTTGTGTCGGAGGGGATACCGTAACCGAGGCGCTCTCACTTCAGCGTGATTTAATAAACATATTAAAACAGTCCGGTATGAGTCTAAAAAAATGGTCGAGCAACACCATCGAGGTATTACAACAGGTGCCCTCTGAGGATCAAGCATGCGGGTTATTATCATTTGATGATGAAACTGGTGGGGGTACTAAAGTTTTGGGACTCCAATGGTCGCAACGGGATGACACTTTTAGATATGCCTGTCAGTCCGAAAACCTAATAACAACTAAGCGAGGCATGTTATCATTAATTGCGCGCATATTTGACCCGCTCGGCTTATTGGCGCCCGTAATATTTTTAGCAAAACATTTAATGCAGCGCGTGTGGCAACTCGGTATTTCTTGGGATGAACAGCTGCCCCCCGAAATACTTGACGTATGGAATAAGTTTGTGGCGGATCTCCCGATTTTACAAAAAATAAACATTCCGCGATTTATTGGTACTCATTCCGGTATCCAAGGTCACTTATGCGGGTTTTGTGACGCGTCTAAAAAGGGTTTTTCGGCCGTCGTATATTTAAGACTTCGCAGTCGTTCTGGACCAGTAATTTCTCTGTTAGGTGCAAAAACGAAGATGGCCCCAACTAAGGCCTCAACGATTCCACGGTTGGAACTTTGTGCCGCCGTTTTGTTAGCTCGTTGGATGGCCCGGCTTAAATTCACCCTTGAGCGCAAAATTAAAATTACTCAAAGTTATGCCTGGTCAGACTCGACTACCGTGTTAAGCTGGCTTAAATTACCTCATGATAGCTTTAAAATTTTTGTGTCAAATCGGGCACACAAAGTGACGACGTTGCTCCCCGCCTGCAATTGGAATTATATACCATCGACTAGTAACCCTGCAGATTGTGCGTCACGTGGTATTTTCCCTGCTGAGCTAGTAAACCATGAACTATACTGGGGTGGGCCGGACGTTTTATATCGTGATGAAACTGAATGGTTGACGTTAGGTCCGAAGTTACTCACTGACGGTTTACCGGAGATGAAAACCTCTCCATTAACGACGCTTATCACCAATAATAAGGACCCTCCCGAACCTGAGTGGTACGTGCGGTTCTCGTCTTACATTCATATGATTCGTGTTATCGCTCGTATGTATAGGTTTATCAATGGCTGTAGACGTCTAGCGCATAAAACCGATTTTTTATCACGTACTGAATTGGACCACGCCGCCGTGGTCGTTGTAAAATGTTCTCAACGAATCGCATTTGGCAAATTGTTTCACGATCTCTCAAACAATCTTCCGATCAGCGTCAAACCAGTGGCACGTCTTCGTCCGTTTATAGATCCCCGCGGGTTAATTTGTGTAGGCGGCCGTTTGTTAAATGCCGATATACCTAATACACAGAAACACCCGATTTTATTAAGCAAATCATCCCACATATCGTTTTTATTGATTCGCCATTGGCACGATATCACCGGTCATGGGGGGCCGAGAATTCTGACATCTCTTATTAACCGTTCATACTGGATTCTATCGCTTAATACCCTTATCAGAACCGTTCTTAACAAATGCCTCACTTGCGTCCGTTTAGTGTCCGTCAATCCACAACCGGTCATGTCCGATCTCCCTACATCTCGTGTGACAGAGTGCCATCCGTTCTCGCGGGTCGGTATTGATTTCGCTGGTCCCTTAGTGATGACCGAACACCGGTGGCGTAAGGCCCGTCAATACAAGGTGTATATAGCTGTATTCGTTTGTTTCGTGGTAAAAGCAGTTCACCTTGAATATGTGTCGGATCTAACGACAGACGCATTTCTGGCAGCCTTACAACGTTTTGTTGCTCGTCGTGGTCTCCCTACCGACATTTATACCGACTGCGGCACTAATTTTGTGGGAGCCTCAAACTTATTACGTACGTTGGTTGACGATCCCAGCTGTAAAGATCGTCTGGTTGCTAAATTCCACTGTACGTGGCATTTTAACCCACCCGGGGCGCCCCACTTCGGGGGATTATGGGAGGCGGCCGTGCGATCTGCCAAAAACCTGATGGTACGAATAATGGGAGAACATAAGTTTACGCTTGAGGAACTTTGCACATTATTGTGCCGTATAGAGGCTATTCTTAATTCGCGTCCCTTGGTACCACTTTCGTCGGACCCATCTGAGTACGACTGTCTCACACCCGGTCATTTTTTAATAGGCCGTCCGTTACTTTCGGTTCCTGACGTGCACGCAGTTGACACGGCACGCCCATTAGTCCAGCGCTGGAAGTTGCTTAACCAATCCACCCAATCATTTTGGCGCCACTGGCACAACGGATACCTAAACTCGTTGCAAACGCGTAATCGTTGGACACACGATGTGACCAATCTTGCAGTCAATGACATGGTTGTTGTTAAAGAGCCAAATGTACCACCGCTACGTTGGCGCATGGCGCGTGTTGAACAAGTGTTTCCCGGAACGGATGGTGTAGTGCGTGTAGTCAACTTGCGTACCGCAACTGGCACACTTACACGTCCGGTGGTAAAGGTTGTAAAACTACCAAGTTAAAATATATATATAGTTCATCTTTGCACTTACGTTGCAATATGTCATGCCCGGTGTTACTGATTACTCTATATACATTCGCTATGCGATCAATTAATGTACCTTAGGTCCTATGAGTATCAGACATAAAGGACGCGTATAGCTATATTATTTAAATTTTCTAATATTTATTGTCATTAATGTTTATTTATATATATATAAAAAAAAAAAAAAATGTATTTGTTCAAAAAAAAAAATTATTCAATAGTGATTTTTAACTTGTATTATTTTATTTTTATTTTTATTATTACTCATTTGAAATTGTACGCTTGTGCGTCCTTTACTTATTATCATTCGGGTGACCTTAAGATTATTATTTATCCATTTTGTTATTATTAATTTTTTGTTTTTTCATCAATATTAAATAGTTCGTATATTATATTAACATTATTGTATTATATTGTATTATATTGGGAAAAATCACCGTCGTCATATGCTTCAACATTGTCACTCACATGATGTAACTACGTCCTATTTCAATTCAATGGTTGTAAGCCCTACGTCTTACAAGGGGGGGAGGATGTTCAAGATATACTAAATAATTACTGTTTGTGTGCGATAAGCTCGCTGACTTTATCGTCCCTCCTCCCTTTGTATATGTGGCATCGGCGCGCTGACACCGCTGTTACTTAAAAACTTTTTCATTTCATATAAATACGTAAATGAGCATTATTCATATACTTTTATAATATGCATGCCGTGAGCCGCGGCGTAGCGTACGTGGCTGTTATTCATGGTAGATTGATTAATTGCATTGACTGTATAATATATGTGTATAATGTAAAGAATATATTATAATTCTTTAAATTGTATTTAACCGCGCTCTGCACGGTTAGTGTGGTTATAAGGTGATAACAATAATAATGATAAGCAAGATATGAAAATATTAATTGTAATTTGTAATAAGATATTAAGATGAAATATTATGAAATATGTAATATCTAGTTAGTAGTTATAATATAGTAGTTTAGGAATTGACATTTAATTGAAGAACAAACATTTATTGTCGTTTCTTTATATTTAGGTAAGTTCTGTATATAATATATAATATGTAAAATAATAATAAATAAAAACTTTATATTTAGAGCAACACATTATTGGTTTGATTTGTTTGTGGTCAATTCCTGAGTAAATAAAATAGAAGTCTTATAAAACGACAATTTCGTTTAAGCAATATGAAGAAGCTACAATTTGAATTTATGATAAAACCATCAAGCGATGGAAAATCAATTTGATGACCATCACCTCGATTACCTGAAGCTAAAGAACATATGCCATACCGGAAGAATTACAACAAATAAGTTTCCATAAAGAGGTGAGTACACTATTATGGATAATATGGTGAAAAGTGCATTAAAAAGACACCAATTCAGAAAAGTTTGGATCACATAGAGAATTAAAAAGTTTACAGGATGACTATGATATGTTATTTTCTGGCAGTGCTTAGAAGAAATAACAGGTAAACCTGCTAACACTATGATTCAAGAAGAAAAAGATTAAATGCTTTAAATTTAAATACTTTAAAACTATTAGAGAAATTAGTTGGAAACGCACAGATACCAAGAGATCAAAATTTAAAGAACAATTTCAGAAAATTTGTGCTTGAAAATTTACAAGCAAGGATATAAATGCAAGTCATTGGATAAATAATTTTGAAAAGAATGTATTCGCTTTGATGTTAACGAGGATCAAAAAAATTGAAATACTCAGATTGTTTATGGACAAATCTTGTACAGATTGGTATAGCTCTATGATAATAAATTAACATGTGACTCAGAATGGAAAATTTGGAAAACAAATTTTGTGAAACATTTTCAAGCAAAGGTTGAACCAGTAACTTATGCATTATTATACAAATACAGAGATGGTTCGTTACTGGACTATGCAATAAAAAAAGAAAAGCTTTTGTTGGATATGAGAAGAACAATTGATACAGGTACCTTGATAGATCTTATTGCAGCTGGTTTACCAGAGTTTATACTTAATAGAATTGATAGAGAGGTATTAAAAGACACTGTGGATTTGTTTAGTGAAATCAGCAACTATGAACACATGGTAATAAAAAAAAAAAGTTTTTTTGAGAAAAAAAAAATTCCAAGCATGACCCATAAAGAAAAAAGTGAAGAAAAAAAACCATGTAAACATTGTGAAAAACTTAATAAAGGCACTCGTTACCATCCTGAATCAGTATGTTGGTTCAACACAAGAGAAAATGATAGAGAGAAAAAAAATTACATCAAACATGTAAATAATTCAGTAGTTGAAGCTGAATTAAATGACACGGATCAAAAAAACTAATTGTTACACCATTAATTAAAGTCAAACTGCTATTAGATAATAAATTAGAAATATTTGGTATATATGACTCTGGGTCTAATGTTTCATTGATAAATTCTAAATTATTAAAAATAAAATACAGAAAAATGAATAACATAAAAAATGCAAATTTAAGAACAATTAATGGTGTTAAAAAAACAAATGGTTTGACAAATATAAAAATTAAAATTTATGAAATTGAAGAAAAAGTAGATGTTTACATCATAGATGAAGAAAACTTCAATTATGACTTTTTGATAGGATTAGATATTATAAAAAAATTCAAACTTATTCAGAACGAACATTTAAAAATAACTCAAAACAACAATTTAAATCAAAATAATAAAATTGAAGTAAAAAAAGAAAACACTAAAATAATAGATGTAGAGGAAAATAACTTCCAAACTAAGATAGATTATTTAACTAACAATCAAAAGTATGAAATAAATAAACTAATTGAAAATAACAAGTCAATTTTTGCAAATGACAAATACGACATTGGTACAGTGAGAGAATATGAGGCACGTATTGATCTAACAGTTGACAAATACTGTAGTAAAAGACCTTATAGATGCTCCGTAGAAGATAAAAAGGAGATAGAAGAACAAATATCAAAATTACTTGAAAAAAAACTCATTGAAGTATCTTACAGTCCATTTGCTGCACCAGTAACATAAGCATTTAAGAAAGAAGATAATAGAAGATCTAGACTGTGCATAGATTTCAGGGACTTGAACAAAATAGTAGTACCTCAAGCACAACCATTCCCATTGATCGATGACCTAGTGATAAAGACAAGGAACTGCAATTACTTTTCGACATTAGATATAAATTCTGCTTTTTGGTCTATACCACTCAGAATGGAGGATAGGAAAAAGACTGCGTTTGTGACAAAAGAAGGACATTTTCAATGGACGTGCCTGCCTTTTGGTTTAAAAACATCACCAGCAATTTTTCAGAGAGTCCTAAGTACAATATTAAGGAAATATAAACTTACAGAATTTGCTGTTAACTATATTGATGATATTCTTATATTTTCTAAAAATTTTTATGACCACATTAGTCACTTAACACAGTTATTAAAGGCAATACAAACTGAAGGTTTCAGATTGAAATTCACAAAATGTACATTTGCAACAGACTCGGTGAAATATCTTGGTCATGTTATACAGAATAACTCTATCAGGCCTGTAAAAGATAATCTAGTTTCAATAAATAATTTTCCGGTTCCAAAAACTCAAAAGAATATAAGGCAACTTCTAGGGAAAATAAATTTTTATCATGAATACATACCAAATAGTGCAATTATCCTAGATCCATTGCATAATTTACTTAGAAAAAACCAAAGATTTATCTGGTCGATAGAGTGTCAAAAAGCATTTGAAAAAATAAAAAAATTACTGTGCTCACAACCAATTTTAGAAATTTTTGATAAAGATTTACCAATCAAGATTTACACAGATGCATCTTTGGAAGGTGTAGGAGCCATTCTCAAACAAACACAGCTTAATGGAAAAGAAAAACCAGTGGCATACTTCTCAAAAAAACTGAATGCAGCCCAAAAAAAAAAGAAAGCAATATATTTGGAATGCTTAGCTATCAAAGAAGCAGTAAGATACTGGCAATACTGGCTTATAGGTAAATCATTTACAGTATATTCTGATCACAAACCGTTAGAGAACATGAACATTAAATCTAGGACTGATGAGGAGCTAGGGGATTTCACCTACTATCTGTCACAATATGACTTTCAAATTAAATATGCTCCAGGGAAAGACAATTTGGAGGCGGATTGCCTAAGCAGAAACCCGGTATTGGAGACAAATGAGAATAAAGAAGAGCAATTGAAAATAATAAATCTAATAAAACTGGATGATATTCTAACAGATCAAAAAAATAATGAAGAGATAAGAAACAAAAAAAACAATCTGATAAAAAAAAACAATGTATATTTTAAGAAGTATAGAAATAGAAAAAAAATTATGTTATCAGAGGAGTTCAGCATTAAACTCATAAAGAACATACATGAAAACCTATGCCATATTGGTATTAAACAAATGCAAAAGAAGATTGGTACAGTATACACAGCGAAAAACTTGACAAAAAACATAATACAATTTTGTAAAAACTGTGGGATATGTATGAAAAACAAATCAAGAGGAAATGACAAATTTGGTTTAATGTCTCATCTGGGTCCAGCCACAAAACCTTTTGAGATAATCTCAATAGACACGATTGGTGGATTTGGAGGTTCGAAATCCGAAAAAAAATATCTACATATTCTAGTGGATCATTTCACAAGATACGCATTCATTTTAACATCAAAAACACAGAGTGCGAATGATTTTGTAAAATTAGTCAACAATATAGCAAACACAGATGAAATAGGCATCCTTCTCACCGATCAATCTGGGAATTAATTCAAAAGTTTAAACGTTTTTGAGTGAAAGTCGATACAGATGGTTTTACTGCCATAAATACCCTTTCAAATGGAATAAATGAAAGACTTAATCAAACACTGGTAAACAAAATTCGATGTAAAATCAATGAAAAATAAAATTAGCTTGGACAACAATAGCACAAGAATGTGTAAATAGGTATAATGATACTGATCATTCAGTTACGGGGTTTGCGCCAAGATATTTGCTATATGGTACAGATGTTTCAATATTGCCACAGGAATTAAAAGAAGGAAAAAAAACAGAAATGGATTGGATATGTGATAGAAAAATAGCATATGAGAATACATAAAATCACATGATTATAACAAAAATTATTTGATAAAATCGGAAAGACATAGAATTCAACGTAGGAGATATGGTATATGTGGAAAATGAAACAAACTAAACAGGAGAAAACTGGATGAACTGAATATTGGACCGTACAAGATTATAGAGAGGATTTCAAATTCAATCTACAGGATTAACACAGGTCACAAAAACGGAACATAATTCCATATAACGAAACATTCCGGCTTCCGCATTGGATGGTAGAACAGCTGGTTAGGGACTTGTCAAGATGAAAATTTTATGGAAAATTGTCTGCCCTAGGGGAGATGTAGAATATTATAATTCTTTAGATTGTATTACCGTGCACGGTTAGTGGTTATAAGGTGATAACAATAATAATGATAAGCAAGATATGATAAAATAAATTAATTGTAATTTGTAATAAGATATTAAGATGAAATGAAATATGTAATATCTAGTTAGTAGTTATAATATAGTAGTTTAGGAATTGACATTTAAGAACAAACATTTATTGTCGTTCTTTATATTTAGGTAAGTTCTGTATATAAAATAATATGTAAAATAATAATAAATAAAATCTTTTATTTAGAGCAACACATTATTGGTTTGATTGTTGACATATTTTTACATAAAACTCAAACCTGTTTTTGCAAAATAAATTTTGTTTTCGATTTAATTTGAAACTAGATTATTATTATTGATATATTATATCTCTTATCAGTCATAATAGTGGGGTAGGTATATCCAAATTTCAAACACTACATGTTAATAATAATCAGTTTTGATTTCAGCTTTAAATTCATTATCATAGGTTCAGGACTATATGTAAATTTAAAATCATGAATTGTTTGTTTTTGGGTTCAATCGAAATAGATTCTTTTCCTGTGAAGATAAATCAAAAATACATATATACTTTTGAATTAACTTAGAAGAAATAATATTTTATAATTATATAATCATATATTTTCAAGACAATTTAAACTATCAAGATAAACTTATAAATTTTACCTTATTTCAATTTAAAGGTAGTTAATAAATATAAAATTAAAAAATTATAAATTTTATTTTCATTACAATTATTTATATTGTTACTTTAAAGGATAACATAAAATAAAATAAAATTAATTACTTACTTAGCACAATATTTTCTTTAACATTATAAAAAGAATTGATTATTTATTTACGAAATATCATCCAAACTTCTTCTTCGTCGTTTGGAAATGATAAAGTCGTAAATTAGAACCAAATTCTAAATTCTTCGATTTCCACATTTCACATACTGACATTATATATCTGTCTATTCTATAATCAATGCTAGTATCTACCTATACGCGCGACTATACGTCTATACAATTGTCAATTATTGAAATTTTTAAATTTAAAACTATTATTTAATAATACATGCGAGTGGGTATTAGTGGTATTTCACTGGATACAGGCTATCTACTAAAATGGAAATAACTATATGTCTATTATATGCATATTGTGTTTGTGTATATATCAAACTCCCGGTTTGTATTTAATTTCATAGTCATATTCTTCCAACAGTATTCGCCATCGAGCGAGTTTAGACAATGGATCTTTTAAATTGAATAACCATGACAGTGCGCGATGATTGCTTAATATAACAAATTTTCTACCGTATAAATATGGTCAAAATGTTTTTACTGCAAATATTATGGCTAAACATTCGAGTTCGGTTGTATTATAATTATTTTCGCTTTTATTTAGAGTTCTAGATGCGTATGCAATAGGTAAATCTGATGGTATTTCTCTCTGTGATAATATAGCGCCTAAAGCTTTTCCGCTCGCGTCTGTAGTAACTATAAACGGTTTTGTAAAATCTGGATATTGTAATAATGGTTCAGAACATAGTATTGTTTTTAATTTATTGAATGCTTCCTGACATTTCGTTTCCCAATTAAATTGTACACCCTTTTTTAATAAATTTGTTATAGGCTTTGCTATAACACTGTAAGATTTTATAAACTTTAGATAATACCCCGAAAGTCCCAAAAATGATTTAATTTCTTTTACATTTGTAGGTACCGGAAATTCTAATACTGATTTAACTTTATTTGGATCTGGTTTTATTCCGTTTTTCACTAATAATATTCCCTAAATATAAATATTCTAGTTTTAAAAATTCACATTTATCTGGTTGTATTTTTAAGTTATGTTTCTGTAATCGTTCAAATACGTTGCGTAATTTATTATTATGATCGATTAAATTTTTTCCATATATTATTATATCGTCTAAATATAATAAACACTTAATTCCTATTATACCAGCCATTACACTATTCATTAATCGTTGAAATGTAGAAGGTGATGTCTTAAGACCCATAGCCATCTTTGTAAAATGCCAATGCCCTTGGGTTGTCGAAACTGCGGTGATCTCTTTGCTAGATTCGTCGAGTTTTATTTGATAGAACCTGGATGCAAGATCTAGTATGCTAAATAAATTACATTGTCCTAGCTGATCTAATATTTTTGTTATGTTAGGTCAAGGGTGATATTCGTTTAATATTATTTTATTTAATGCTCTGAAATCTAGGCCTATTCTAAATTTTTCTTCTTGACTCGCGTCAAGTTTCTTTTTAACTAATAGTTAAGGCGCATTCCAAGATGAAAAGGATGGTTCAATAATATCGTCATTTTCCATTTGTTTTTTTGTTTATTTATTTCCTCCATCTGTGAGTGTGGTAATCTATATGGTCTTTTTTAAATAGGTGGTTGATTAGCTGGTAAGTTAATTTTATGTGTTAATGTATCTGTATGTATTAGTATATCTCCTTTTAAATGAAATACATCTTGGTATTGTTCGCATAAATCTAAAATAGATTGTCTTTGTTCATTGTCCATATGCCTACTTCAAATTAATTTTTTAATTTTATTTATGCGATTTGTTTTATTATTCTGATCGG